GGTTTTATTTATACGATTCTAAATTTAATAATTAAAAAATTTATAAAAGTTCCTATATAATTTCAAAAGTTACGTCTAAAATCTTTTAGTATTCTAAGGAATACTATTTTCTAGCAATATACGCGATACTAACAATAGTTTATAAAATAAAATAAAATTTTAATTTAAACTTTAAAAAAGAAAAACATTATTTAGTGGAAAATTGTGAGTAGAATACTTAATAAATCACACAATATAAGACAAAAGGAAAAAAATTTCAAATAAACTTTTTTTTTAAATAAAACATTAATTATTTTATCTATACAACTTTAACTTTAATAATTAAAACAATTTGTATTCACTTATTTCATCAATATAATTGACGAAACATCGAATTACATTAAAATCAATTCCATCAAAATGTATTTTAAGTTGATTGATAAATTCTTCTGTATTCTCAATACTAAATACTTCAACTGTTTTAGTTGATTTAATTTCGTGATTTATTAAACGTCGTTGATCGTTTGCATTTAATGTAAACTGCTCTTTACCATTCAATATTAAAGGTTTATTAGCATTACATTCTAAATCAATACAAAGTTTGTATAAAAATTTATCTGATAGATTGAATAATTTTATTACAAAAGTATTATGATAGAAAGCAACATTATCTAAGTCAACTAAATCTCCAATCTTTGGAAATTCTCGGGCAAAGTCCTCAATTTCTGATTTAATGATGGAAATATATGAAACGTTATCGGATTGCAACAAACTTACAAATTCTTCAAGTATTTCTATCCATCGTATAACATAAGCTTCAATATACTCAACTTTTTGTTGCATCAGATACATAAAATGCTTAAGGGTCAACCTCAACATGATAATTTGTAATAAATCAAAAATGGATGTATAGTACACTTTAAATGGTAAAAGATGATCATTATACCAAGTAAGTTCATGTGGTTTATAGTAGTAATCTATGAGTTTTGAATCAGAATTTCCCCACATTACTTGAACGTTATAAGTATACTGCAGATAATGAATTTTTCCTGTATATAATCCAAATTTTCTCAAAAATAGATAATATTTACTAAAAATGTCTTGATTAATTGTGAGATTAGTATTTATAAGGTTCCTGGCAGACATACCTCCCATTGAAACACAATTATTTTGAATTAATTGATAATAACTAGTCAATCTAAGTGAATTTTTAAAATGCTCATCGTATTTTATATAATAAATACTTCCTTTTGGACATTTGTTATTAATGATTTCTTGTTTATACTTACTTGCAATATAATAACAGGTTTTTAATATGTTTTCGTGTGTTGAGGAATTCATTGTCACTTTAGATATCTTAGGATGACTTACATAAACACCAACAATATTTGTATAAGCATTTAATAGCCACAAAGGACCAATTTTGATATCTTTTACACCATATATAAAACTAAGTTGTTGACTAACAATATTAGCATATTTTGTTAAAGTGTAGACAGCATCAACCAAATCTGTATCATTCGTACACCTTTCTATATTTAATATTGATAGTGTCAAATGATGCAATCCACTGAATAAGTATGAACATTTCAAATATCGAGAACTATCAACGGGTTCTACATAATAGTTATAACCAGTCTCTATTGTATAAACCAATTTAGCTAGATTAATAATGAAAGAAATAATGAAACCGACCTTAAAAAATGTGTAAAATATCATAACTTGATTCCTTACGACAAAATAATTATTTTAATTATAATATTTTAAACTTTTAACTCTGTTATGAATTACACTTTACAATGTTTAAACCATAATTTACAAGTGAATTATATCAAAATTCAATATATTAAAAATATCTTTTTGTTGATTCTATAATTAAATTCTCGAATTTTCCTGATAAATCATTCACATATTGTTTTAACAGGTTTACTTTTGCATGAAATTAGATTTTTTTCAAATGAAAAACACATGATAAAATAATTAAAAAATAACTTTTTTATCAAATTTTTATTGATTTTTTTGTTATAAAAATAATTTGTGCAAAGTTTTAATTCTATATGACATTTTTAACGTATTTTTTTGATAATTTTAAGTTAATTTTTATGAAAGTTTATAAATTATAAATGTCGAACGGTTTAATTATTATTAGCGATTCTCTTACCCAATGAATTCATTAAATAAAACTATATTATATAATAAAACAGAGTTGTATCTTATAAAAAAGTGATATTTTTGCTAACAGATTTTTGATACTAAGTTAGAAATTGACTTGTATTATTGCTAATATAAAAATATATTCAACTATAATAAAAAAAATGTTTAGGGTTTTAAGTTTCACAAGACAATAATTAGATATAATTAATGAGATATGGTCACAATATTTGCTTATAAATATTTAAAAATATATTTTGTAAGGATATTAATGCATAAAAATTGCTATGTGAGATTATAGACTGTTAGTCAACAGAGATAAAAAATTCAAAAATAACATAGTAAGATTATTCAACTTTGTAGTTGAAAGTTATTATATCAAACCTTATACGACAATCTATACATTGAAAAAAAAACAAATCTTAGTAAAATTAATACGTTTTCAGCTTCACATCCAAGCTAAAAATAAAAATAAAATAAAGTTCAATTATATGATCCTTGTATATTATAATTTCAATTATTAAATTAAAATTATAATTTATCATAAACCATTAGTAGCAAAAATATATTTTTTTCGAGAGGGAAACCCCCATCATCTTAATATACTTATGGAATACACATTAAAAGCTGCAAAAAATCCCCCCGAAGAAAATATTTAAAATTAACACTAAAATTTTATTTTATTTTTTGTAAAAGAGGGGTTTTAATGTGACTACATGCCTTCACTTCTTATATGACTATAATGATTAACCTAAAGTAAAGGCATTAATAATTGAAAACAAAAATTAAAGTAGATAATATATGTCTAGCTATTATTTAATATATTATCAAAAAATGCAGGAGAACTATAAGCTATTCAAAAGATAAGTTAAAAAAATTCTACTTGTTATAAGAATGTTTCAAGTTTTAACGCTCCCTGTACTAGAACATGTATAATGTAATTATATAAACAAAATTGTATTAATACATACATTTTTCAAAAAATTATGACAGTTTAAGTAAAAACTGATAGCTACAAAAAATTCTCCCTGAAATATTTATAACTAATGCTTAAATATTTTTTATTGTAATTATTATTTTTTTGTAAAAAGGGGGTTAAATAGAGGTACTTACCTCCAATCCTATATGACTGTTTGACCTAAAATATAGGCATAAATAATTGATAAAAAGAATATTAATGTAAAATATTATAAAAATACAAAAAAGGGTAAAATTTTACCACACAAATATTTTTTGTTTACACACGTAGTCCGTTTACATATAGTAGACAAGTTATCGCAGCAGATTGTTTTTGAAAATATAATATGTAACGCAAACTTTAATTTAACATATATTAGAAGCTTGGAGCATTTTCAAAAATTAAAAAATTTCTACTTATTATATAATATACAACCATATATTATATGATTCAAGTTTTGAATAATTTCCTGTATAAAGTTAAATAGTCCGATTTAAATAAGAAAGAATGTTGGATGAAAGGGGTAAGCATAAATATTTATAAAAAAAATTGTATAGATCAAAATATTTTTCAAAAAAATATAGTAATTTAAAGTTGAAAAAATAAAATCAAAAATTATATACAAACATAGTACGTTTTTTAATTACGGCAACCAATTCCACATAGAAAATTAAACGTTGGGCCTTATTTTTTTTTTAACATATAGTACATAACATACCCTTTATTTTAACACATGTTAGAAGCTCGGAGTATTTTGAGAACATTTTGAAACTTTAAGTAGATAAAATTCAATTTTTGTACAGAGTTGCTATTTTGAATCCCTCACCTGTGGGTAGATAAAAGATCATATTCTCAAATAATTTATATCAAATGTAAAGAGAATTAGCTATGGTAATTATATTTAAAAAAATTTTTGTTTTGTTCATTTTTAAAAAAGTTATAACAGTTAAGTAACAAATAATAACACAATAAACGGTAATTTTTTATTTAAAAATTACATTTTTCGTTCAATATCTTTGGCCATTTGCTCATAAAATTAAAGTATCCGGATAAATTATACTTTTTAAATTATAGAATTTATCAAAGCTTTAATATGGCAGATGTTTAAAGCTCGGAGGAATTCTGGAACATTTTTAAAAGTTAATTAACCACAAATATAACTACTGACATATTATTTAATGATTCTGTTATTTATTAAAATACATTAAAAACATTAGAAAAATTAAAATCTATTAATTTGTAATACTAAATCAATTTCATATTTTGTGTACTTTTAAATTAACTCATTATGATAAGTCAGAACAGAGTGTAATATAAAACTCTTCATGTCATAAATATATTGTTTAATCTTAGATTGAAAGAATGGTCTGATACCTGTTTCAATGTAACAATCTGTATACAAATATGTATTTATGTAAAACGAAAATCCCGTTAAAAAATAGTTGGATGATTTATAAGTAAATTCGAGAATTTAATCGACGTATAGCAATTTTTGTAAAACATTATTTGTATAAAAAATGTATTATTTGATATATTAACTTGTAAATTGTGTTTTTAACATAGTCTATACTGCTTAGTTTAAGATATTATTAGAATATTACTTTTGCCGTAAATAATTGAATAAAGATAATGCACACACTTTTTAACATCATTTTCTTTATTTCATTCATTGCTAATCCAATTAAATTGACTTATACAATTGAGACTGGTTATCCGTATGATGTAGAGCCCGTTGACAATCTTCAATATTTAAAATGTTCATACTTATTCAGTGGGTTGTATCATCTAACAATAGCTATATCAAACATAAAAAAGTGCACTAAAGATTCAGATCTGGTTAATGCTGTCAACACTTCATCAAAATATGCTGATATTGTTAGTCAACAATTAAATTCAATATATGGTATTAAAGGTATCGAAATTGGTCCTTTGTGGCTATTAAATGCTTATACGAAAACTGTTCGTATTTATGTAAATCATCCTAAGATACCTAAAGTGACAATGAATTCCTCAACACATGAAAACATATTAAAAACCTGTTATTATATTGCAAGTAAGTATAAACAAGAAATCATTAATAACAATTGTCCAGAGGAAAATATTTATAACATGAAATACGATGAGAATTTTGAAAATTCACTTCGATTGGGTAGTTACTTTCAATTAATTAAAAATAATTGTTTTAAAATGGAAAGCTTGTTTTTCAAGTACTATATTAATAATAATCTTAAAGTGGAATATATAGACAAATTTAATAGATATAATATAATATTAAAAAAATTAGGAATTCATTCAAAAGCAATTCATATTCTGCAGTATACTTATAACGTTCAAGTAATGTGGGGAAATTCTGATTCAAAACTCATAGATTACTACTATAAACCACATGAACTTACTTGGTATAATGATCATCTTTTACCATTTAAAGTGTACTATACATCCATTTTTGATTTATTACAAATTATCATGTTGAGGTTGACCCTTAAGCATTTTATGTATCTGATGCAACAAAAAGTTGAGTATATTGAAGCTTATGTTATACGATGGATAGAAATACTTGAAGAATTTGTAAGTTTGTTGCAATCCGATAACGTTTCATATATTTCCATCATTAAATCAGAAATTGAGGACTTTGCCCGAGAATTTCCAAAGATTGGAAATTTAGTTGACTTAGATAATGTTGCTTTCTATCATAATACTTTTGTAATGAAATTATTCAATCTATCAGATAAATTTTTATACAAACTTTGTATTGATTTAGAATGTAATGCTAATAAACCTTTAAAATTGAATGGTAAAGAGCAGTTTACATTAAATGCAAACGATCAACGACGTTTAATAAATCACGACATTAAATCAACTAAAACAGTTGAAGTATTTAGTATTGAGAACACAGAAGAATTTATCAATCAACTTAAAATATTTTTCGATGGAATTGATTTTAATGTAATTCGATCTTTCGTCAATTATATTGATGAAATAAGTCAATATAAATTGTTTTAATTGTTATTGAAAATGTTAGGTGGTTTTATGTGAATATGTTTTTTTAATATAATAAAATTAATTTAAAAATCTAGATGAAAAAATTCTTTTTTTGTAATACTTATTTTCTATATCACAATTCGTAGTAATATATATTTTTGTTATTTATTAGTTATAAATAAAAATATTTTTAACGCAAAAAAAGTGCTTATATGTTAATATTATATAGTTTCACTATAATTTGATAATAAAAATTTATCACTTGTGGTTAATATAATTTTTAATCAAAATTATATTGAAAATATTCAAATCAATAACCCTCAAAAAATGACTAAGAAATCGCGGATACATATTTTGGGAACAATGTTACCCTTATATAATCCTATTGACCTTATCAACTAGGAATGTTAGCACTAAGTAATATTATCACATTGTGCCTGTACATAAATTTAATAATGAATTTGCTGTAAGTCAAGATCCCAATTAATTAAATTGTTGTTTTCTTATTTTTAAACATTTCTTTTGCCTTGATGATGGTAACATTGTTCCCGAAATACGTATCCGCAATTTCTTAGTATTTTTTGTGGTATTTTTAGTTAATTATTTATTAATTTAAATTAATATTTTTATTTAATTTTAATTTTTAATTACTATTTTTAAATTTAATTTTACTAATTAAGAAGGTTGTATTTTAAACTAATACATCGCTTTTCAAAATATTCATTATTTTATTTTTATTTAAATATAATATGTATATATTTTATAAATGTTGAACAATACATGAACACGTAAGAAAACATAAATCTAATTTTCCTTTTAACGGTCATTAAATCGAATTTTACATGTATTTTGTATTTTTAGATTTTTAAGAAACTGCTTAAATTAAAATTTTAGTTTTATAATTCATATTGAGTCTATTACAGTTTTAAGACTACAAAACTTTAATTAGACATTTTTGCGTGATTAGAAATGCATGTTTGAAATACATTTTTAATATAAATATTAAAAATGTATTAGAAACTTCTTAACTGAAATTAATGTATTTTAATATTAAATGTAAAAATACTCTTAATACTATAATTCTAAAAGAGCGTTTATAAAGCGATAGTTTTCATTATATTCGTTTTATTTTTATATAAACATTTTTTTGTCATAGACATAAAGCAGTATTGTTTTTGAATGAGAGGAATGTATCTAATTTTTCTTATAGTTTTAATTTGTCTATTTGACATTGTTTATTTTTTATCATACAATATATACTTTGGTAACGATATCATTTTTATCAGCACTATGCATACCTTTTTTAGATGCAATATAATTGTATATCAAATCTTAATGATGATTTATTTCTTTATCATCAATTTACTACATAAAAACATAAACACTTTAATATATTTTATTTTCTGTCGTATAAATACCTTAAGCCACATTTATTTGAATGTTCTGTAAATAAACACTTTTTGTGACTACATTAAGTCAATTTATCACTGCTTGTAAGATTCTTTTTCTTTATATAAATATAATCATAATAATAATAAGTCGTCTTGATTTTTCAAGTAAGCATAAAATAACATTGGCCTTGCATTAAGAACACAAAAGCATCACAAGCTCTTTTAACTTTTGAGACGATTCCATCAGTATCCCCTCCTTACTATAAGCTCCGTCAATGAAGAAAGACACACACACACACATATATACCTATAAAAGGTGTGCTGTTAATAGACAGATCGAGTCCTTTTAAGCCTCAAGACCTTTTTAAATTATGATCTGCCATCATCGTGGTAACTATAAGAAAACGGGAAGGTAGAGTCACGTGCTCCTAATTATGAATGCGACCAAGGTATGATGGGGTGGAGAAAATAAGAAAAGAGACGTGGGTGTGTAGTGCTTTTGTAGTAGAAAACGGTGGAAAATATTAACAAGTAAAAGATTTAAACGGCGGGCGAGGCGCCGAAGGGATCAATTATAAAGGAGGATTACTAAAAGATGGGGTTGATGATGAAGAATGTCGTTTAAATTTCATTAATGTCCGCCTGCATTTTTTACTCAATATAATTTAAAGATGATACTGAGTTTTTCTTATATCTACCCGAGACTTTTCTTTTTTCATGACAAGAACTTAAGTCGACAAAGACATATAAACGACCGTGGATCATTATTGGACGTTACAAACATTTCTTATAAGCCACAACGAAGCCAGTCAAAAATAATAATTCTTTTTAAAGGTAGCAGTACTCGCGGAGCATTATATATAATATTACTAAGCTTAGTTACTTCAATAGGGATGGCAGTAACTGTTTTTTCCTTTAACCATATTTTAATGTAGTATAAAAACTGTATCAAGTATACCCATTAAAGAGGATTATTTTTATTAGTTGATTCGACGTTTGACGTCTAAGAAAGACTTATAAATATATTGACGTCGTTTTAAGCTCAAAGGTTTTGAACACTTATACTTAATAATATAGCACGTTTTATTTTTATTCAGCGTGAGAGTAGTCACTTTTAAATGAAGAAAGAAAGATGATTTTTAAGTGAAGATGTATATTGCTGGAAACATACGAGTGCTTTTATCTTTATCTAAAGTAAGTCAAAAACATTTATCAGCATTGTGAATATTAGTTATATATCATATATATATATATATATATAGTGTATTCCATTACTTAGAACTTATGATAGAAGAATTAAAGGCTGGACGTTAAAAGCCGACCAACGGTAATCGAGTCAAACCCTTTGAATATTGCACCAAAGAACAAACGAAGAAGAAGCCATACCAATTTAATGTAATCATCTGCGTGTATGTTCCCTTAGACAAAGGATAATTGATTACTGATCAAAACGTCGCGATTTCATTATTATTCAGATAAACTAATTACATGTGTAAGGCGTATAATATTATATGTTGTGATGGCTAAACATTTTTCAGAAATAGCAAGTTATAAGCTATTCATCAATTATTATTGATTATTATTATAATTTTTCTATTTTGATTTTTAACTTATGATCATTTATAATATATTGTACTGTTAAATATGGTATGAAAAAGTAGAATATATTTTAAAAAATGCATGTATTCTAAATCACAAAATAATAATGTCATTAAAATGTTTATACTACTAAATACTAAATTTAAAAATTAAATTTCACAAACATACACTTAATCATCTATTTTAAGTGTGTTTAGTTTATAATGTATTTATAAATGTTTTTCAATTTAATTTAAAAATAAAAATAAAATAACCAATGTAATAGCTGCTCAGTTGATTTTTGGTATTAAAATCTTAATGTCTTATATAATTCTCTATATTTAACGAATTACCGGGTGATATCAAATAAAGAGATCATTTCTTGTGTGATCTTGGATTACCATAAGAAATAGCGTGACTTGTTGCTACTCCATTTCTTCCATTACTAACGCTATTTGCAATAACTGTGGTGCCTCCTAATCTTTCAAAACCGCCATTGCTCTGTTCATGACTGTCTCTGCTATTTGTTGACTGACCATTACCGTTTGGAAATACGCCGAACATTATTGGGAACCAAGCATTAAATGAAGCTTCTGCGTTACTACTGGAACCTTCACCTCGAACTAACAAAATACATTTTAATGTACATATAAATCATTTAAACAAATCTTGTTAGGTACATTGATCCATGATCAAATATCGAATACACTCATTGACTCCGTTGCTACTTTACATTTGTTTAGATAAATATTATACTATAAAATATTTTTTATGATATAACATGACTGCAGGTTAAAAATAACTTTAGTTTTAATATATTCCTACGATATTTTAAGTTTAAATCATTTAGTTTAATGGTATAACATAAAATAGTATTCAATAACATATTTACCTACTGCGGTAATTTGAATGTCATTTAATTCTTATTTTTTTATTTTTTAATGGTCGAAGGTTATTGTCTTTTTTTTTTTTATTACTTAAGTCAAGGGTGTTACGGTTCATAATAAAATAATGCATTTATGCTCAATAAACTGAATATAATGATACTGATGTATTTTTAATAAAGGCGAGACAAATTTAGAATAACATATTATTCAAAACTATAATTTAAGCAAAACATGCTTCAATTTGTAACTTCAATTAAATCATATTTTCAAATATAAATTAAATTTTAAACATTAGTCTCTTAACTGTAGTTTTGATCTTTTTTTAATAAGAATTTTCTTAAGTCAAATATTTTACCTAAAAAAATGTTAAAATTAAAGGTAATTTAAATTGTAATTTAAGTGATAATTTTGTAAGATTTAACAATTTTTTAGATAGAAATATATAAAGATAAAAACCAGTTTTTTTAAATTTATACAACTAATTTATTTTATACAAAAATTCATTTTGTTTTTAAAATATTTAATAATTCACTACTGCTAAATGTATTATATGATTCATTTTTTACGATTAAAAGCCATTCCAACATTCCCATAGAGGATGTTTTTAAACCATTTATTACCCGAGACGGTTGGTTAGTCGGTCGCCAGAGAAAAGGGATGACTATTTTAGCTATTGAACTTGTTTCCCACTCAGCAAACAAAGTTGCCCGAGAATTATCGAACTCATATGCATGAGGAACTGTCGCGTTACCGACTCAGCCACATCGTCCCTTTAGGTGTAATATTATTTAATCAAAATCGTTTTTACCTTTAGGTTGTTTTTGGTCTTCGTGTTCGTCATTATTAGATCCTTTAGTATCAGTAGAACTTGGCTTTAAATCATACTCGGGGATTTGTGGATTGTTTTTGTGCTCATTACCAACGCCAGAAGGTGGTGGTCCATAAGAGTCTTGTGCCGTAGGTGATCCGTATTCCTTTGGAGGATAATAAGGAGATGGTGGACCATAGTTAGAAAACATTGGATATTCGGCTGCTCCAGTAAATGCTGCCATTTCACCATTAGGATTAAATCCACTGAATGAAAATGTACGCATTGGCGAAGGATTCCGTTTCATTCTTACGACCATAACTTGACCTTAATTTAAAAAAATATTAGCCGATATAAAAATGTATAATGCTATTATTAGTAAATTCATTACTAATTTTTAAATATAACAATCATTTTAAACAAAAATTAATTTAAAAAATGTTATACAAATATATAAAAAAATGTATAACGCTTGAAAAATTAAATTAAAACATTAAAAAAAAAAATTGTAATTCTAACAGAAATTCAAAAACTTACCTTCTGGTAGGACAAAAGCTGACGCTAATTGAACAGCTACGAAAGCTACAACAATCATAAGGCAAGCCATTGTTTGTTCCTTAGTAAATTATGAAGATGGAATAGAACGGTTGCTGGACAAGGGTACCATAGATATAGGTGTCTTGGTGCTCCGTAGTTTATGGGGTGGGGTCAACGTGATTTTTAATATTACGTGTTTTGAAATTTAAACAGACCAAAATCCTGGGAAGTGCAAATTTTTTTCTTAACGACTACTAAGACTACAACGATAAGTTATTGGTAAAATGAGTCATGGTATGAATTTATGCGTCCAAATACTCTGCCTATATTTTGTTGCCAAAAAAATTAATTTGTAAATTTTAATTATCTATCTACTAGTTTATTAATTAAATTATAATTTTGGGTGTTTTAGTATTCAATTCACTTATAATGTTTAATAAAAAAAATCTTATTATTATTCAAACGACACATGAAAAAAAAATATATAGGATCAAGTGAAATAAATTTTAATTCATTTTTTATAGTCACAGAAAATATTAGTTATGATTGAAAATTGTTTATCATTAACTTGGGTCGATATCCTTTTTTGTGTAAATTTAAACATGGAAACATGTAACTATTTATTATATACACATATCAGACTGTTTTTACGGAATTAAAATAAACGAATTTTCGGTATATATCTCAAAAATAATTTGTTGAGATTTTTATCATTTTTTAGAAAAATATATTTCTGTTTATGCTTAGTAATGAAATTTAATTGAGAAGCTTGTTTTATTTTGCACTTCGAATATTTTTATTTTTGTCAGACACTATTGAAATGTAAAATTTGTTATTTTCTTCAGAGAATATCAAAAAAGAAATTTTTAAGAATAAAAAACTATTTACAATTATATAATCTAATTAAAAAGTAGTATTTACTTTCTTTAGTAAATTCTCGACTGAAAAATTTTAATTGGTAGATAATATATGTATTATTTTTATATAGCCAAACATACTTACTATAAAAATGAACTAATTTTCAATAACAAAAAGTAAAAACACACAATATTATTAAAATCTTGAGCTATTATTTTTAAATAATATAAACAATATTCTTTACAAGCTAAGTATGATATTAACATAATATAAATTCTTATATTATTTCATATAAGCCATTAAAAATAATATTTAAAAAGTACTTTATTTTTAAATCATTTTCATATAAAATTCTTGGTCAACTTTTTTGGTTTTTTTTTATTTCTCTACTAAAAAACTGCTAAAATTAACATTACAAGTTTTAGAAAATAATCACAGATTTGATTATTTCTAGTTTTATATTAATAACATTATTAGCTATTAAAACTTGATTCGTTTTTGAATTCAAATATTATTTCAAGGAGCATCATTAAATCATTTTTATAAGTGCTTAATTTTATGTTAAGTTTATTTTTTTATTTAGCTTTTAATACATCGTAATTATATTTTCTCGGCATTTATATTTTATGAATATTATTTTTTTTTATTAGAAGTTTTATAAGAATCAACCCCGAGATAATGTGTTAGGAGGACAACATCATAATATTTATGTATAATTAATAAATTAATTATATTTTTTAATAAAAGTTATTTACAATAACAAGAAGACAAATTACTCTTTATAATAATAGAAACAGAATTTTTTTTTTATTTCTGAGGAATAGTTTGATATTTACTTAATGTTATTGACTTATTCGTGAATAATTGTTACCTAATTCTGTAAAGGCAGTTTGCTAACTATACTTAATTTAGAATTTATATAATGCCATAGTTAGTATATAATTATATTTAATATAGAAAAGTAATTCATAGCTTTTAGAGTATTGATTTAAAAAAGTAGATATTTTTAATAGAAATAAATAAAGGGGTAATTAGTGTTTTGTTCTAGCGAGATAAATATAAAACCTTTTTTTTATTACTCCCTTTAAACCCAAAATAATATATTTTCTCAGAGTTATTATTTTTGTTCCGGGGTATTTATCTAATAATAAGTATTTCAGCTGTATAAATGACATTTACTTATTTAAAGTTGTTCAACTTTAATTCAATAAAACTAATTCGTATGATCCATTTTAATGTGTTTGAAGTATTAAAACGTTTTTTGTATTACAAAAATATGTAAATAAATGAAGTGGAAATTTTTTTATAACAAATTTGTGACAAATTGGTTATAGCCCGACATTTTGTATATAAATTCTGGAAGTCATCCAAGAAAGTTATTGACCTCAAAAATTATGAATTATAAAATATGTATCGAATAATTTACTCATAAAATTAGCGATCTACGATACGTATATATGTGTATTGCTATTATATAAAAAATAGACACAATTGAATAACTCAAATAAACATAACGCTGTCAATATTTATTGTATATCATTGTGGACAGTTAGAATGCATACTGTACTGTCATTAAAAAAAAATCATAACAATTTTATTCATTTATAATATTAAAGTACTTTATATCATGTATAATTCATATATTATACTTGAAGAACCGATCACTTAGACTTGCTGGAGTTCCAGTACTTCTCGTCATCGATACATTATGTAGACGATTATTTCAGTGTCAATTACGTCATAGACGATGGCGGTAAGGTAAATACACATAGTGTTTAGGTTTAGCTGCCAATTTCATTGTTAAGAAAATTTTCATGGCACACACAGATGCAATATTTTTTTAACAATGTAACCGCTTGATGTATAGAGGATAAAATAGCATTAATAAAACGTGCTTTGCATTGTATTAATTATATACATCAAGTATTGAATATCTTATTATTTCTGCGGAACAATCGTTTACTCGTGAGAAAAAATCTTGATCGCTCCTTATTAGTAATTTTTTTCCACTTCTGATATAAAGTTATAAAAATCAATAGCTAATGACCAAGATTACTTATAAAGAACATAATAAAAGACAATACTACATTCATATCACCAGTAGGTTTTCAATAACAAGCATATTATTTTCAAAAAAACTCGACTATCTTTTAAGAAAAATAATTCACAAGTAATTGATAGATTATTTTATTATATTAGCAAGCTCTTCAACTGTCTTCATTTTTAGTTATAACTCTTATTTCCATTCTCTTATAAGGATTAAACAAAATTTTATGAGCACTTGGAAGGCAAATGTATATTTTAAGATACTCATATAAACATTTTTTTTTAATATAAATGTTTAATACTGAAATAATTTCGAATTGAAAAATAGTTAGGTATATTTAATGTTTCTATTAAAAGCCATAAATGTTTATCCAATTGGTAAAAACTAATAAATATCATATGATAAAATATTTGTTCAAATTAACGTACAATATTATTTTCCTTGTGTTTAAATTGCTGAGAGGTAATACCCTTTTTTTGTATAAAATTATTATAAGAGTGTATGTATCACACAGATTACATCTGGTGAATGAAAAGGTATATATATATTCTTGTGCATGCCTTCATTGTACAATGAACAAAAAAATATAATTTTTATAAAGGAAAATACGGCGATAGAATTTTTATATTTTATAATATCATTTAAGTAGTACGTCTACGTAGAGCATTACATGAGGTTGACAACATACTAACTACATATACATGTGTTAATATTTTGATACTTCCATGAATAATACATTAATAAATAAGTTTTTAATTAATCGTTAAAATTTTAATTAAATGCAAATTAACTTCAATTCTTTACATTGAAGTTCAAATAAATTTTCGATTATTTTGATGAATTTTTTGTGTTAAAAACATGTATATTTTATCAATAAATTAAAGTAAAAACGTAATTTACTTTCGAGTATGTATCCACGATGCCAATTTTACGATCTTATGAGACAAATTGTCTGTAGGGAATATATGACTTAAATATTTTTTTATCAAACTTAATTTAAGCTTTAAAAATCTTGATAGTCACGAGGAAAATATTCTGTCGTATAAAAAAACACTAATTCATTTATTAAATCACGGTCTCTTAAGTGCAGATCTTTGAACTTCTCTTAGTAAATGCGGATCCTAAACAACTACCAATATTTACCATGCCCTAACGACATTACAAGTAACCGTTACATTACATTAATTTCAAAATCGAATTATTTTGTTTCGAGTAAAAATCAAAAGCCTTTTAGCAACTTTACCTTGATGTATATGAATTACTTGGCACACATAGAGATATACCGTAATACTATACCTGTATACGCATTTATAACTTATATCTACACATAAAACACATTAAAAATTTTACATTGCACTCGTATAGACGTTTTAAACAAAACTCTTATATGTACAATTTATGTAATGACTTGTAAATATACTCATTTAAGGAACGTAATACAATTCTATGCTACGGGTGATTAATTGTATGTTAGCCAGTTAAATAATATATTCTGAAAATCCTATGGTAACTATAAATGAAGTAGAACGAATCGTCATGTCGTTTGTGGATGTCAAAAACAGTATTAATTTATCAGTAACACTTTCTCTGCAGCTCTACGTACACGCAGCCACGAGTATAACTTCTGCATCGGCTAAGATGTTTGATGTTTCAAAGCCGTGACCAATGGTCAGTGTTGGTCCAGACTGTGTGTGCGCATGAACCAACTCGCTTCTCAACAGTTACTTTTTAACTGCATAAATAACAGGTCGTTATCATACGAAACGTTCACAATGGCTCAACGCGATGCATTCGTCGTACTTTTGGCTTTGTTACTCGTTACCGGATGCCTTTGCAGACCTAAAGAAGATGGTAATCAAGGAAACCCGGCTGACACTTCTGAGACTTCAGAAATGTCATCTCTATTGTCGACAAGTAGAACGAGTAGATTGCAAAAGCCCTCACAAGGTAACAGATAATAACAACGATAATTTTCCATTATTATAAGCAAATCGAATTTCATAAGATTAGTTAATGATAAATTTTATTGTGTTTCAATTTTAGTGCTCAACATTGGATTCGACGAAATTGTAGTGGAATCCAACTTGCAAGTACACAGCCGAGTTGGCAGCAAAAACAAATCAAAAATAATGCTTCCGTCAAATACTACTGCTCAGGCCAGCAGTTCCAGATCATTAGAAATTTAGACTGTATAACTTATTCGACCATGCGTTCAAAGTATAATAATTAATTCTATCGTAATAGATAAGTACCGGTTAACATTGAAACATTCTGACGTATTTGTCTATAAACTAACTACTGACTCAATTACGTTTTATTTATCACTCCATTCTAGCTAATGACGCATCTTATTAGCATTCAATCGCACGTTTAGTGTACATGTAAACAAAGGTATATTAGAAATAAATGGAACGGCAATAGATTATAATTATGTGTACAAGATTTTTATAATATTTATCATAAAAATTTTGTATTTAAAAAAAAATAAGAATAGAATTACATTTTTATCGTTAAACGCATTTTCAAAAACACTCTTTAGTATATTTTGACGACAAACTATCGAATACAATTTACTATAAAACTGTTGAATCTCCAACGACAATAATTTTAATTATTTTAATTTAAAATATTTTAACTTAATATAAAATGTCATATCTTAATATTAAGAATTATATAAGAAGTAGATTACTTTAGAATTATATGAAAAAGATTTATTCTGTATTACTTGTATCTTTAGTTTTTTTAAATTTTTACAAAAAAAAAATTATAGTAATAATTAGTATTATTTTACAAAATATATAGTTTAAATTTTACTTAATAAATAAAAATATTTATAGTAAAATTGTATTTTATATTATACACTAAAATTTATTATTTAATTCATACTTACAAGAACATTCTCGTGCATAAGAACTTATTTCGGTTGGCTGCAACATTGTAGAACAGTTAAATTTTTTAAGAAAAATTTTTATTTGAAAGATTACAGCCAACAATTTATTACTAAGATTAAATATAAGTAATCATTGAACGTAAAAAGTTTGCCTCGAAAAGAAATATTAGATTTTTTCAAGAACAATTTTACACATCTCCATGTTAAGCGTCAATATTACTTACACATAAAGGAAATTAAAACTACAAATATTACCTACGTTCAGTTGTATTCAAATTTTGGTAATTTCTTATTTCAAACAATTTTATGAATAATATTTAATTAATCAATAATAAATATATAGAATAATACGTTTTAATTATTTCATATAATTTCCCTACCTACAGAACCTTATTTAAGTTTTTGCTGTCCTAGACAAAATATGTTTATAATTTTTCGTAACCCTGAAAATTTTAATTATAAGATTTTAATTTATAAAAAAATATCTTCACTTTAAAATGATAATTATTTTCTAAAATGTGTTCTATAAAATGTGCTGTCTGTGGGTCATTGCCCTCGGTTTTATACAATTTTTACCTTCTTTGTATTTGTCGTCATATTTTGCTTAGTAATTTCACATATAATTGCAACATTCAAGCATATCACATTCAATTGTATCTATTAAAATTAAATCATTTTCAAATACAGTTAATTGAAAATAGTAATTTATCAAAAATACTAGGCACCAGTTATTCTTGAATCAGTATTATTTATGTCATTTAAAATAAAAATGTAACCCAAAGTATGAATATTTTTGTTTCTTAAGCACGGTAAACTACTTCTTACAACTTTTCACCAATTACAATAAAAATTTCATAATATATTGTACTGTAATTAGAGGACTCCTAACAAAGTTTTAGACAAATCATATACGGATCTTTACCCTGATTCATATTGTAAATACGAGTTTACATGTCTAAATAAATATATTTTTCTGAACTCTTTTTTAAGCTTTTTTAATTTATTTTTATTAAATCCATAATCAATACATTTTTTAAAGTTACTAATAATTACTAACTTAGATAAATTATTTATCTACACAATTATAGCTATTTTTATGACTTGTTGCATTAAAATAAATAAAAAACATTATTTTAGGCATTTTCTTAAATGTTAATTTTATTGCGTCGTGGTATCTTTAAAGAAACTAAATGTAACTTTAAATATTCATGTATAAAACATAAATTTACCAAAAATAAAATAGGCAAAAAATACTTAATTTATTAATTTTTTTAACCATTATTTATTTTAACTTTTCTTATAGATTTAGTAAAATGCAATTTGATTATTTTTAATTGATTTCAGATTAATAAATACATTACTTTGATAGATTTAGATTTTTTTTAGCTTCAATGCGAAGCAGAGAAGGTATTAAATTACCATCATGTGTTTATTTATTTATTTATTTTGTGTGTGTGTGTATATCTGTCACTACTTTGTCTTAGCTCTCGTAGCACCGATTTTTCTCAACGATACGTCAAAAGATCACAAATGGTAACTTTGTTATGCCTCGACCCCACTGTGAAACCATATTTTGGTCCCTATAACTTTTTAAAAATGTTATAATTACTCTACAATAGATATATTTTTTAAATATTAAACTATTTTTTTATTATACAAGATGACATGAGTATTAATTTTAACTTTTGATTATGTTTCGGAAAAATCAATACATAAGAAATACTTAAATTATTTTGATTACTAGTTATTTTTGATTATTTGATAGAAAAATATTTTTTCCCATGACCTGTATCACAATTTTTAGTTACAATTTAATTTTATCTGAATTTTTTGAAATGTTTGTTTTTTTATCATGTTACTGTACTTTCAAACTGTAAAATAATTAGTGACATAGTTTTTATGCTTAAGTAAGTCCTCAAAATAACAACTATATTATTATATTAATTAATAATACTAAAACAAGAGTTTAACCTAAAATCAGTGAAAATTTGATAATAGATCAAATCTCAACAATTATAAGACCAGGAATTATAATAAAATAAAAATGTTTTGATTATGAATATTGACACAGAAAGGTGTTATTATAACAAAATGTAATATTTACAAAAATTAAAATAAAATTTTCTGAAGTCAATATATAATTTTGTACTAAAAAAAAAAAAAAATAAATATTTAACACTATATTAAACGTAAATAAACAAATATGAAAACAACATAGCACACTCATACAATTCATTTAAAACAAATAATTAATTAACTAAAGATAATTTTCTCGTATTTTTAGTCGAACAAAAACGTAATCAATTAATTCACTAATATAAATATACAATAATCTAATAATTGTTCCTATTATAATTAAAACTAAATTAGATCTACATACATATCATATATTCGTATTTATGCATATCATACAGCAGGTAACTTATTTTATGTGATGTGAAAGTTTGTAAATTAAAAAAAATTTGTCGAATGATAATTATTTTAAAAGTTTGAAAATATCAAAACTAATAAGTAATAACGTATTACCAAAATTTTTGCGTACAGTCTTTCAAATAGAAGTTTTACATTTTTTATTCATATAATACAAAGATGATTTAATGAACACACAAAAAAAGATTACAACAGCATTTGTTTTATCTTAGAAATCAAAATAAATGCGACTAGTTAAGTTGCTGTTATAATATTTAGTGTCAATAACAACAATAACAATAAAAAATGATGTAGACTTTGATTAATATACTTAAAAATATATAATCCAAATTGTCTATTTCATTTTAATGATATTCATTAACATAAAAAACAATATATATATATATATATATATATTCTCAATAAAAAATTAGTTCACTCAAAAAATTAATTTATAAAAAAAATAATATTTTTTTAAATATTTATAAAAATAAAAATATTAACAATAGAAAAATATTTAAATTTTGTTTTTACTGTGATGTAATGTTTTCATATTATATTAAAAAAAGTAATTTACGTGATTTTATAATAGTAAAAAATATTGGTCTAATTTTAAAATGGCTAATAACAATTTATTTGCTAATAAATTTGTGTCACATAATAAAATAAACTATAAAAATAAAATTTTTTTTTGAAAATTTTAAACTCATTTGTAAATGACTGACGACTTCATGACTTCATGTGATAACACTTAAACAGATCTATCTCACGTTATGAATAAGGAACATGATAACTGGTAGGCTGCTTTTGTTAAAACTGTAAAAAAATTTTTTTTTAATAATTTTATCATAAAATTATTCAGAGTAATAACTGTCAAATCAATTTATTTACTATATTTTCATAAGATTAATTTATTACTAGTTAACTTCAATTTTCAGATTGGGTAAAGGAGAAAGTAGTATTTTTTATATTTCTACTAAGAACGTGATGTTTTTTTTTTTCGTGATCACCCATTCTATGATATACATTGGCAATCATGACTTAACACAAATGTCTATTAGCATGTAATACGTCCACGTCACAAATTTTACAGTAAAGCTTATTTTTTTCGAATTAAAGACAAAATAGTAAATTTATTAAAAATATTAATCAATATTCAACACAAGTTTTTTTTTATGTAATTATAGTAAGTTTTAACTAGTTCAAGGGACGAGCATTTTATAAAAAAAGATTTTACTATTAAAAATTGGAAATACCATTTAAAATTTATTAAAATAAATTATTTTATCAATTATTTAGTATAATTACACAATAATTATAAAGATATACAAGTTTATTACAACTGTTAAACCATTTAATCTTTCCGACCTACTTGTATTGTTCTGGAATACAATACAGTTAGGTATCCTTAAATTTTATGTTTAGAATATTACCATACTACTCATAAAATGAAATGATAATATTTAACATAGGACATTATAACCTTCTAAAACAAATTTAAATATGCAGTTATAGTATTTAATGTTTTGAGTGTTATTGTTTTAAATTACATACCTACTTATTATATTAACATATATATCTACATGATAATATTCTAGATAAATATAACTAATCAAATATGACATTACATAATCTATTTTATCGTTAGTAATATTATTAGTTTTAACATTCAGCTAGTCGCATTCATATTTTAAGTAAATTTTTAAGTTAAAACAATTATTGTTTGTAAAATATATGAATTGAAACCCACATACACACACGCACACACCCAAGTATAAATAGGAGAACGACAAATATCAGGTTAGGTTTTTCCTATACAATATACATAGTTAACTACTGTTATAAATGGTGAAACTAGAAAAAAGTCTGCGATGTTAGTTTCTAATTCGTTATGATATAATGTTCATCCGAATATTGTATACCTTTTGTCAAACTGCTGTTTCAGTTTTATCAGTTATAGGAGTTAGCTGGCTTAATTCTTCTTCATTTACTGGCAAGTGATGTTCATCGTCAAAATTAATACTACCAGCTTTGTACCAAACGATAACATCCACAAAAAAGGCACACAGCATTAGTACTCCAGTTATACCTATAACATGAATATTAATTGATAGACTTGTTGATTTTAAAAATTTTATTTATATTTATGTCTATAATAAAATACTTGAATTAATCTCTGGAACCAAAATTAATCGAAATCAGCATTATTTTTAATTTATTTAATATTTACTGAAATATAGTTTTTTGAATAATAATGGAACAATTTCATTTTTCTTTCATATTTTATACAAATAATTAAATTTATATATAACAATATTTTATTTCAATATGTTAACACGCTTATGGCATTTATTCATTTTTTATTTTAGTTTTAAAGTAAAAAAATGATCATATAAGCATATGATAAGGATCGTATAAGCATACGATATATAACACATACCGTGATAAAAGATTCGGAATAAGTCCGAATTGTAGAGTGTACATGCTCCAGGTTTACCGCATGTCATTTCCCATACCATACACGCAGAATCAACCACTGCACCGTATATAATAGGACAAGGCACATTTCCTAAAATAAAATTAAGTTTATGCTATAGTATTGTTATGGGTAAAATACCAAGAAATCTAATTTGTTAGGTTCGTAATAATACCAAAAAACTAACCGAAAAGACCGATTGCAAATTGTATGAGACCCAACGCCATCGCTTTATCTTGAGGATGCACACATCGAAGTATGAGTAACATACTACCCACTTCTGATGTAGAATGGATAAAGACAAACATTGAAAACAATGCAACGTACCAGAAACCTGTGTCGTCACACCCATTATCACAAAGACCTGGTACAGCTTCGTTCGCATTACCTTCCATACAGAGACAATCTACAAACTATTAACACATTACATCAATAACTGAATAATAGTTATTAAAAATATTAAAAATTGATTTTTATTTATAGAAATAAAACAAAACAAAAAAAATGATCAATTTTAAACTGCCTAAAGTAATTTCTTTCACTTCATACCCTTATTTTATGAACAAAATAATTGATAACTGCAATTTAAGTTTCTCCTTAATCTCATTAATGAGGAATCCTATACTAATGTGAACAAAATTTTAACTAACTTTATGAGAGTTCTTGTTGATACTGGTCAGGTTTTGGCATCCAGCATGACACGGTGAAAAATATGTTCGACCATCGTCACCGCATATTGGGCTAAATTTCTCTTGATCACACATGCATTGATTTGTACAATGAGATTCAAATTTGGCGACGTTCCTAAAAAAAAATTATAGTAGTTATAATTCTTAAAGTTTATGTTAACAAAAATACCAAAGTATTATCACTCACTGCTCATTGTAGTACAATCCTGAAAAATTATTCATCGGACATCCAAACAACATCAATATTCCCATACCTAAACAAAAATAATTACAACAATATTTTCTGTACTATTATTAATAAAATGAGGTTTTATATCTGTTTAATATTACCAATAGCATAAGCTACAGCTGTAAACGCAATCCAAGCAGCCACCGCTCTCGCATTAGGATTTTTCTTCAATATAAATACTCCAGATATAATGATTCCAATACCCATTACCATTATTCCGTAAATTCCTAAATTAATAAATTTGAGTTATAAAATAAATTTGTAGATTACGACTTTTATTAAAATGAATGCTAAATATAATTTACCAGTAACCATGTTGGCTGTATGAGCAGGAAATCGGAATTGCGATTCAAAATATTTTGGTAAAAATGTGTAAATACCAGCTATAGGTAATAAATGAAGAACACTGCTAGCAGTTCTGTACATAAGTATATCATTTTTTAGAAGTCTTTTAATAGCATTTGGGAAATCTTTTAGTCTTGGAGCTTTTGGAACTGCTTGACCATTGTTAGTGCAAACTTCGCCATTTGCTGGTTTTTTTATAGCAATTACCGCAACTTCATTAACAGCTGATGGTAATCGTTTTGGAAACGCGAACATGGGTAAAGAAGCCAAAAGTAATGACACTGATATACCGACTAAACCTAACCACCACGCTCCAACCCACCGAGGATCAGTCGGTAAAATATCTGGCTCCATCGATAAGTCAGCGTATAAACTAGTGCATAGAGCTCCCAACAAAAATCCAAATGATGGTCCTAGTATACGAACACCTATAGTTATAGAAAAATAAAGTGGTGATTCACGACTAGCTACATTGTCATCTATGAATGGTATTCCTAAAGTGTAAACCGCAGTCTGTCCCATTCCTACGACCAGAAGACTGACAAAAAATATAGTTAATACAATTTGTGTATTTTTTGATTGGGTTTCTTGTTGACTTAGAACCGACTTATGACAAACTTCTCGTTGATCAGAAACACCAAATCCTTTTTCAGGCTTAACACATACATTAGGTAAGATAGCAGTAAAGTTACCATCAACTGGTCCATCATACTTTGTTACCAATTGATGATGTCCGAATAAAAAATGAGGTATCGAACATGAAAACGCTGCAACAGCAAACAATACCATACCGCAAGCTATCCAACGAGGCCTATGTCCTTGACCACCATAATAAGTCAACAATAATGATGATCCAATTTGTCCGATCTCTGTAGCACTCATTACTATACCAGTTGTCTTGCTTTGTAACTGAAATAGTTTTTCCAGGGTGGTGATTACACTTACAAAGTATGTATAAAACATACCTTGAAGTACCCATCCTATACAAAACATAGCTAAAAATGCTTGCTTTGATGCAAATATCTGCATCCATTTTGGTTTACATAGTCCAATGCCACATTGTATATCTCCATTATCATCATCACTGATAACCACTGCTGGTAAATTGGCATTAGTTTCTTGATTCGCTTCTTCTGTCTTTTCTTCGGTTCCATTAAAAGCAGCCATCATTAAGTTCGTGTTGATTAATTTTCTTTGGATCCTAAAACATAATTTTAACAAATGTATTTTAAAAATGAAACTAATAATCAATCATTATTTCAAAAATAGATTATTTTTTATTATCTCTTATTAATGGGTATAATATAGTTCTTAGAATATGTATATATGGCATCAAACTATTTTGTTCAGGACAAGTGAGATTATAAAAACGCGTACAATGAACTCTCCCTTTTATGAATCAATTAAGTAACCCCTGGGGCTTCCTTGTAAAAACGTAGTCAAGGTTACTGAAAATATACGTCATGGGTACAGTAATGAATACGACAATATTAGTACTTTTCGCACCGAAAGTGACACAATATGGGTCCAGTCGGAGTACAATGTAGTCATGACCTTGGCATGACAAAAGGATGACAGACTACCCGGGAAACCTGCTCAGACGATTGAATCTTACATACTCATGAATGCAAGTATATATTTTTTGCTAATATTAGTAGTCAAACGAATATAACTTAAATTCGTAACTATTGCTCACTTAAATACTTTACTTGAATTTTTTTTTAATTTAAATTTTTTTCTTACAATAAAAACAGACATTATCTAAATGAAAACAAATTCTAAGTGTGAAAATAAAACAAGGTACTATTAAAGAGAATACAGATCATCCTGGTGTTTAGATACATTTATACTGATTGATTGGCTAGAATCGATACGGCACATTCCTTTTATTTCTCATACCTATGTGTGGAAGCTATTGTTTAAAAATTTCTATACGTGCATACTGCAAAATCATACGGATACATTATCAATTCATTAATATTGTGCCAATGCTCTTTTAAAAAAATTATATTCATTGTATGAATTTATTGTGCTTGTCGATGCATTCATTTTATTACTGTCTTTCATGGACTACAAACATTATTGAGAATTATGAAAGTAAAAATGTTCAACCAGATTATTTATAGGAAAACTTTTACCTATTTTGTATATGGTTTAAAAAATTTACACATTTTTTTTTTATTAATTTATGTTCATAAAAATTTGCATTAATAAAATATTTTGCAAATAAACAGTAACGAACAACAAAATCAAATTAGTAAAATTATAAATTATAAAATTATACGTATATAGGGAGTACAGTAGAACTACGATTAACCGTCACTCGTTAATCCGTCATCAAACATTTAAAGACATGTCGTCCAAATATAATCAGTGTTAGGTCAACTATCCATTAGGCCTATATTTTATGACTCTACGCTAATTACGGTTTGAATATGTCTTTAAACTTTGATAACAGATAAACGAGAGACGTTTAATCAAAGTTCCACGAAAGATATGTCAGTAAATTAACAAATTTTAATTTTGAAATTAATATTAAATAAAAATATTAATGTTTCCATTTTATTTTCAAATAGATCAATTACATGCATAATATATTTTATTGTTATGAATTGAGTATTGTTGATGCTGTTATTCACGCCAAGTGATTTTTTATCATTTTAATTGACATATATAATGAATACATAATCAGTCTACTATTTTAATTATTGATGCATTTATGCAAAACTAACCGAAATAAATCAAATGTGCTTTATATTGTAATATTGAGTGCATTCGATACATGGCGAATTCAATTAATTGTATTTTCGCATGATTCATGTCATGCGTACCGAATCACTTAAGCCAATTGATGAGGTGCGTACAGTTATAATAAATAAAAAAGTTCAACTACTTGTATTAACACCAACAATTGAATAACTAAAGAAAGTCCTTGCTGTTTAATATAAAGTACTTTGTTTGTGTTAAGTTGTGTAACTGTCATGTAAATAACACTTAAACTAAATAAAATTACGAATGACGATTATCTCAAAACATAGACATTATTTCTTTTAAAACTGTATTCACCAAATAATACAGTAAATTTTTATTTATAATCAGTCAAAAAATATTCCTTGAAATTTGTTTACAAGGTTTATAAATAAATAAAAACTTTTAGATATACTCCTTATTAGCATTCAAATAAATAATAAAATATTATAAGAGATACTATTGTATCTATAATATTTTATTGTTATTACGGAGGTGGATGATAAGGCATCATATCCTCCCAAAGAAAAAAATAATAACATGGCATAGATACAATTATTTTCGTTAGGAGAGTGAGTGAAAAATTATCATATATACAGAATGATTTGATGAACTATGAATCATGCAATATCTTTAAAAGTACAAAACATTATAATTTTTTCTACGTTAAAAAAAGTTGTTACATTCTTCCTGAAAATTTTATCAATTTCAGTTTTTTAAGTGGAAACATATATGTTTAATTAACTTACCAACTCAAATTCGATCTATCAAAGATAATTACTGATCAATAACAACTTTTGGACCACTACTTTGAAAGTTATTAACTCTTTAATATAAAGACTAGAAAGGACAATAAAAACATATGTTATGTTTCCATTTAAAAAATGTAAGTTGAAATGATTTTAAGAGGAGATAAGACCAAATTGTTTTCTGTAAATTATAAAACGTAGAATACTATGAACATCTAAAAAAAAACAATTATAATATGTTTTACTAAAGATATTGCGTGAGCCATAATTAAACTATTATCATTTAAATACCCCAGGACAAAACCTAGAATGAAAAATAAAATTGTTTATATTATTCAAAATAAAGATAGTAATATAAAAACATAAAAAAAGAGTTAGATAAAAATAAATAAATGTTATGCTTTATTACAATGTAATATAACCTTCACTTCAGCTTAGAAGTTAATTCAAAGGAATAAATTCAAAGTCTGTCTTAATTGATCGTGATCATTAAAATTACTTTTAATGTCAAGGTATATTTTTTTATAATAACTTCAATTTTTATTGTATTTCATAATAATGATTAATAATAAGATCATTCAGAAAAAAATTGTAGAATTGCAAAAATATGAAAGTATAAACATAATAAGAATTTGCTTTACATCCATTTTCATTATTGAAATGAAAATAAATAGTCTAGACCACTGCACGACTCGTTTATTTTAAGTAACAAATCGAAATTTTTACCATTTAAGTGTTCGTTTACTTAAAAGGCTTATACTAACTAACCAATAGCCACAACCCACACACCACTAACGCGTCGTCACCACTGCCGGTTTCTTCTGCTTTCGCTGAACGTACACATTTTCCCTTCTTATAGGTAAGCTCAAGAAAGAACATAAATGATGGCGAAAAATAAATGCACTTTCGCATTCAGTTAATACACATTAGGGATCTTAGATTTTTTTACATAACATGTTGGTTAAGTAAAAAATTCTTGATCAGGGGCCAAATATATACCTTTGATATTAAACTTACAATAACAAACAAGAATAAAGATGAAGTAAGTTATTGAATGTTAATTATTATGATTGTATTGTAAATTTTTCACGTCAACTACAAAGAACAATAATTATTTATCATTGATGAATCAATCTACTAGGAGAATTCTTAGATATATCAAAAATTAGGATAACTTCGTCCTATAATACATGACATAGTTGATCTCATTTTATAAATTATCTGTATAATTTTTGTCCACATTGATATAACTACTGGTTATAAAAAGAAATATAATAATCAGATAATTTTCTTATAAAATCTTTTAATGGCAACAAAAATATAAATACTTGCTTATTACCTTATCATAGTTAGGAACTAGTTGCGTACGTAATAATTTATCTAATATATATAGTCTTATTTGTACAAATTAATTCACTCACATAGTAGTTCATTTTTGACAAGTACACAAATAACCTAAAAAATAGTGCGATAATCGTAATACTCGCAGGAAAAAAAATAAAGAATTTATCAGGTGTAAGATTTAGAGCTGTTAAAGTTTAGTTTAATTGATTTACAAACTCTTACGATAGTGATTCTTCATTGTCATAATTCAATAAGTGTTTTAAATTTACGTTAAATAAGATTCATTCATTTTTGTTTTTTGGTTAATCTTCTAAGTAACTCTAGCTTACGTATTGTATGAGACCTAATTTCTAATCATTCCTTCAATGATTTAGTTATTGTATTAATTATGAACTAGATAAAAAAACTTCATGTATTCCGTGATTAAAAACTTAGATTTACGACAAAAAAAATTATTTAATATTTTATACAGTTATTTATCTTTATTACACACAAAAGTTGAATTTCTATTCATTTACAAATGTAAACAATACATTTTTTTAAGATTAATTTTATATCGTATTGAAATAGTCTTATTAAAAACTACCCCTATCAGGTAGTCAGTATTTTAGTCAGATGGTAGACAAGAATTATGACTCATGACATGGACATGCTTAGCATGATCATAAAAAGGGTCAAACCAATCGTTTCATATATGCGTGCACTGTGCACCTACATTGTACATGTTTTGTATACTCAATTTTTTATTATTTTCTTTTAAAATATAACGACCGTTTGTTAACATGGATTATTTCTCCTCTTTTTAACTACTAGTAATGAGAATAGGTGTGGTGAATCAAGAACGACAACAACGTCTTGTCGACTACGGCGGTGAATTCCTATTACGACTATGCATTCATGCACTTTGAGATGACACAGAACGTATACGTTACCAAACTGTACTACCTTCGGTGTTATGAGGTAAAAAAGATCTACAGAAACAAGTTTTATTGTGCATTAAAAATGTATTAAATAACTAATAGCGACGTGAACTCAGTGTCGTCTTGAATTAGTTCTTAGAAGCAAAAAATGTTTATTAAATTATTTTTTATTTTACAATATTATAATCATATACAACTTGCAGTATCAAACATTAATAAGATAATAAATACAATCTCTTATATTTGAATATTATTTTTAATGTTTTTATACATTCATCTGAATAAAAGAAAAAGCAAAAAATGTTTCTTTAACAACGAAGCATAACTAAAATAAAATGACAAAATAAATGTTCTTCTGCTTGTATCAATTTTTTTATAGTCTCTCCAAGAAAAAAATTCTGAATTTAATATCATTGCTGTAAAGAATCCCTGAACGTCAA